CCCTCCGCGCGACCGCTCCCACCACTACCTCGACCGCCCCTTCCCAAGCGCACCCGTCCACCACGTCCCCGCGCCGCAGGCACACCCCGCCCACCAGCCCGCAGAACGTCTCTGCCACGCCCGCGTCCGTCCGCCCCGCCACTGCCACCCACCACGCACGTCGCCCGCCACATCTCGCCGTGCACGGCGCTCTTCGCCGCGTGCTGCCCGCTCATGTTGCGCAGAAGCTCCACGCAGCTCGCCACTACGCGCGCTTCGCCCGCCCGCCGGTCCAGCAGAGTCTCCGCCGCCGCTTGGAACCGCTTTGCGTGGAGCTGCATGCACACCGCGTCCGCGATCTCGCGCGCACGCCCGTCCCACCCGCCGCACTCGCCCACCACGGCGTCAACGCCTGCCTCCGCTGCTACCGGGCACACCACGTCCGTCAACGTCTCTGAGCAACCCAGTTAGCGCCCGCTCGCCGTCGCGCTTCCCCCGCCCCCCAACACGCGCGCCCGGTTGAAGCCCGCTCGCCGTCCCGCCTCCCCCGCCCCCCGGCACGCGCGCCCGGTTGAAGACCCTTGTAGTACTCCACGCCGTCCAGCTCTGGCCCGGTCCGCTCCCACGCCCTCCGCTCCCCCACGCGCACGCCGGAGTGTGGTGATCCATGCCGCCCCGCCTCGACGCCCCCCACCTACCCTCCCCCACCGTCCCCATCGCTGCCCCAGCCCACATCTCCTCCACGTCATCGCCGCACACCCAAAACCGCCCTCCGCCCACCATCATCTTGCAGCCCACCGTCCCTATCGCCGCTCGTCGCCGCCCCGGCCGGCACTTCCTCGTCGCCGCGCATCCACATCCGCCCCCCAAAGTCGGAGCACCACGCGCTGCACAACTCCGCCTTGAAGAATTCCGGCCCCCCCACGCACAGCCCCCCGCGCACCACCGCCCCGCTCACGTCGCCACGAGCCTCCGGTATTTCGGGCAGCCCCGTGTCTCACGCGTCCGCCCCCCTGTCGTACGCGTCCATCTACCACACCGCCATCACGTGCTCGCAGTGCCCGCCCCAGTTCCGCCCACAATGTAGATCCGCGTGGCGCGGTTTAAACGGATCCGGGCTAAAATTTGTAGTGTACTGTAGCGCGGCCGCGCTCGGCAGTCCGCACAGTTATTTGAATTTTAAAATTTAACTTGTCGCCACTTGTCAGCCTGTACTGTAGTGGGGCCCCGCCCCGCAGTCCACGCAGTAATTTTAATTTAAAATGTTACACTTGTCGCCACTTGTCACGGTAGCGCCAATGGCAACGTGGGAGCGCAAGGACATACAGACACACACACAGACACGGATTTTAGTAGTTGTGGACAAGTGGGCTCCGTGCGCGCTTCGCGCGCCGAGCCAAATCCCTTCTTTCTCCGCTCCTCGCCCCACACCTCCCGCTCCGCCGTCCCTTCGTCTCTGGTCCACCATCGTTGCCGGCGTTCCCCGCCCCGCTGCTCCCCGTCCTCTTCGCTACTGCTCTCGTCCTCTCTCCGGTCTTCGTCGCCCCTTTCCCCCTCGTCCTGCCACGCCTACCGCCCCTCCGTGCTCACTCTGGCTGCAGGTCGCGCTGCTCTCGCCACACTCGCCTCAGTCCTGCTCGCCACCCTTGCCCAGGCCGTTACCCTGGTCGCTACGGTTGGCACTCCCGTCCGCCTCAACCTCCGTACCGGCGAACCCGTGGCCCCACGCCCACACTGCCCCCTCCCTCTCCCCGCTTCTGCTCTCGATTGTTTCGCCCCCGCCCGCGTTGCCTGCCGCCTACGCCGCGAGGCGCTTCGCTTTCTCAATCCCCGCACTCCCACTCCCGTGCCCCTACCCTTTCGTTATTCTATGGCTCTCACGCTCTAGGCACACGCCCGCGCAATCACACCTCACCCGCCGCCCCGCCCTACTCCACCCGGCCCCTCTACTCGTGCGGCTCGCCCCGCTCCCTCCCGCCCTGCGGCGGCCTTGCCCTCTCCGTCGCCGTCCTCCACCCCTGCTGCTGCTCTTGCCGCCCCCAAGTAACCGTCGCCCCGCGTGCCCGGGCTTGCACCCCCACCTCGCCTTCCGCTCCACCCATTTCGCCGCCTGTGCACCTCCCGCTCGGCTTCCTGCTCCGACCTTTGCAGTTACTGCTCCCGACGTCCCCACCCTTGCTGCTGCTGCCGCTGTCCCTGCTTCGTCGCGTGCGCTCTCAGCGACTCTCCCGCCCTTCGCTCTCCTGGTTCCCCTCCCTTCCTGCCTCCTTTGACCGCCCTACGATCCCTCCTTCCCTTATGATGCGCTTCCCGCATCCCCCGCCTGCCCGCCTCTTCTTGATCATGCCGATCACAGTCACCTTCCCCTCTGCACGCCGTTTCCGTAGGCCCTCCTTCTCGTCCGTCGCGGTGCCGCTCCCGCACCCACAGTCATCGCAGTTAGTCAATCTTCCATCTCGTACGGTGCGAACCCCGCGGAAGGAGCGCAGCGCGACCGCCTGGGCGTCAATTCCCGGCCCCCCCTCACCCGCGCGCGTCTTCTTGCGCTACCGGCTGTGACATCTGCCCGCCTCGCAGCGACGGTCTTCGGCGTTCCTCGCCCCTGCCCCTCGCGCCGGCGCTCGCCGCCACCCCCTTCCCCCCCTGGCGCGGTCCGGCCCCTTCCGCCCGCGCTCCGCACGCACCTCTCGGGCCTCGTCAGCGGCCTCTGCCTTCACCCACCGTGCGCGACCCTCGCGACAGCGTGGCCATGCGGCCCCCCTCGCCCCCCGCCAGTGACACACCCTTTCCCCTCGCCGCTGCTGCCTCTGAGGTCATGCGGAATTTTTAAATGACCCACGTAATTTCTGCCCATCCCACAGCCGCCACGTGTCCTTGGTGGCCGCTTGGCCTGCGGCCAGGCCGCCCCGCAGCCCCCCGCCACTTGCCACCGCCACTTGCCACCGCCACGTGTCCCCGTGGCGGCCTGGCCTGCGTCTAGGCCGCCCCTCACGTGGCCGTGACGTGTACGCCGTGTCGACCCCGTGCGCCCAAAATTTGTTTTCCCGCGAAAAGGCACATCGGAAAAATTGAAAATATTTGGCGCACCAACCAGCACTGCGGCTTCTACAGAGCGCACCAATGGCAACGCGGGAACGCACAGACGCACAGACTGTCACGCCACGTGTCTACGTGGCGACCAGGCCTGTGACTAGGCCGCCCCGCCACGAGAC